TCTCTTTCAATTCTGAGATTCTATGATTCCTATTCTTTTTTTTTTTTCATTCTCCACAGTAATAGACCCATAGTTGGTCTTAGTAAATATTTGTTAAATGAATGATATTTCAGGTAGAGAGAGCTGCCACAAAAATCAGGAGACAGTAGATAGATTCGCTGGCAGTTAAAAAAGGCAGGAACTATAGAAGGGGTGACAATGAATCCCCCTTTTCCTACCTATTCTCACCCTTGGCACTACTTAGTAAAGCTGAAAGTTTCCCTCCCCTACCGACAATCGGTTTCTACTTTGCCACTTGAATGACTTTGGGAGAAGACCCATTCCTATTATTTCCCATTGTCCCCTCATAGAATGTAATCTCCTTGAGGGTAGGGATTATTAAATTTTTTATTTTCAAATCCTCAGTGCCCAGCATAGTTCATGGCATATAATAGAAGATTAATAAATGCTTGTTGGTTGATTTGATGGATTTTCTAAGCTCATTTGCATATCTGGATATCATGCATGTGATAAAGGAGACTCATTCCTCATGGAAAGAGTTTACCCAACCATTCCTCCATCTTCCCCCAGGAGCTCACCTTCCAAAGTCTTGGGCTGGTATGGAATTGAAGGTACAACCTCAGGAGCCCCTGGTACTCCGAGGCACAGAAAACACTGAGTGGCGCCTTGTCCAGGGAGATACCGATGTGAAGGTGGAGGTGAGGAGCTGAAGTGGGGTCTAGGGTGACAGAACTTTGGGAGCATCCCTCAAGCCATTAGATACCCTCCCCCAGCTTTTATCCCTATCTCCTTGGGTCATTGTCTGATTTGGGAGGTGCCTGAGTCCCAGGAACAATTGCTTTTGGGTGCCCTAAAACCAAGAGTGTGGTTATGCTAGAACCAGCTGAAAAGCACTGACTGTTAAATTTTCAGTATGAGCATTTATACCTTGGAAATCTGTAAACACTACAAAACAGGGCTGGATTTTTGGTTGTCCAGACTTAAGTGATAGAAAAATACTAATAATGCAGAATGAACCGAAAAGTGTGTTGTATGTACATAGATGTGTATGTATATGTTTTTATATGTGTGGAGAGCCAATTGCTAAAGATTTACCAGCACACCACTGCCTAAAATAATTTCTATAACCTCATTGATTAAAATTCCCACAGACAGCCCTGTCCCTCACCTGTTCTCCATCTATGATTCCCCTACTCTGGTATCAAAAAATTTCTTTTGTGATTATCGGGGACAAAGATAAACGATATCTTCAGATCTGCAGGGACCTATTACAGCGGGGGATAGGGAATAGATCTGAAGCCCCTTCCCCCTCTTTTTTTTCTTATAGAAAAAGGATCCGGATCAGCTAGAGCTCTCACAGCTAAAAGAGGGGACTTACGTCTTTCAGTTGACTGTGAAGGAGCCTGTGAAGGAGACTGACAAGAAGCAGAATACTGCCAACTTCAGTATCGTTGTCCTGTCACCTAAGCAGACAGAAGGTAAGGGATTAGCCCAGGGGAAGGAGGGGCAGGGACCAAAAGGAGACAGGCACAGAGCCCTCAGTACCCAAATAACCCCCTTAGATGACTAACTCAGGCTTGCCCCTGCTTTACCCAGAACACTGCCTGGCACCCAAGAAGGTGGGCCGTTGCCGAGGCTCTTTCCCCCGATGGTACTATGACCCCACTGAGCAGCTCTGCCAAAGTTTCGTCTATGGTGGTTGCCTTGGCAACAAGAATAACTACCTTCGGGAAGAGGAGTGCAAGATGGCCTGCAAGTATGTACAAGGTGAGCTGGTTGGGAGGGTTGAAATGGGAAAGGAAAGAGTGGGAAGAAATTGAAAAAGTGAGTGGGCTAGGGAATAGGGAGAGTCTGATGCGAAGAGAAGGTGCCTGGGGGGAAAGAAGTGATAGTGATATGAAAAAAAAGAAGCATCAAGGGCAGCTAGGTGGCACAATGGATAGAGCTCCAGCCTTGGAGTCAGGAGGACCTGAGTTCAAATCCAGCCTCAGACACTTAACACTTAATAGCTGTGAGACTTGGGGCAAGTCACTTAACCCCAATTGCCTCACAAAAAGAGAGAGAGAGAGAGAGAGAGAGAGAGAGAGA